CGGGCCGGGGTCCCGTCGGAAGCCCGCCAGCCCCGGGAGGACCCTGCGCAATGGGCGAGGTGGTGAGGCCGAACCCCTGGACCTGTCCCTGCGGGCGGGGCCAGGAGGCGAGGCCGGGCCGGGGGGTGCCCTCCACCGCTGCCTCTTCTGCCCCTTCGCCACTGGAGCCCCCGAGCTCATGGCCTTGCACCTTCAAGTGCACCACAGCCGCCGGGCTCGGGGTCGCCGGCCGCCCCAGGCTGACGGGTCGCCGCCCTATGCCCGAGCGCCGTCAGGAGAGACCCCTCCCAGTCCTTCGCAGGAAGGGGAAGAGGGCTCCGGGCTGTCGAGATCGGGAGAGGCAGGGCTGGGGGGGCAAGAACGGTAGGGAGCCCTCTTAGGGGCGATTAGCTTAGTGAGCTCACCCCACCGGAGCGGGGGAGCGCTAGAGGTAGTTGGGTAGAGCAGCCAGCAGGGGGCAGCGTGGGACCCATATCCCCAGCCCCAGGCGGACCAGAGGTGGAGGGGGCGGCGGGCGCAGGAGGGTGGGCTGGCGGTACCCACCCAGCCCAAGGGAGTCACAGTGCCTTAGAAGTGGCAGAGGTGAGGGTCAAAGAACGGGGTCCCAGGGCTGGCAGAGAGGGTTTGTGTCCCTGTCCAAGGGCCACTCTGCCAGTCTTTGCTGGTCCATAGGCGTGAGAGTTTATTTTTGTACAAGGGGTGGGGGTGGGGGGCACTGTACCCTTCTAGCCCCATAAGGGGCCCTGTAGACGTCGCTATTTTTGGTACGATTCCTGTCATCCTTGTCGCAGTTGTGTCCCCAATAAACAGGTGTCTCGAGGCACAGGGCCCTGTGTCTGTCTGCCTACCTATGTCCTGTTCCCCTCCTTGGGCCCTCTGTTCAGGAAATAGTCACCTCTTCAGATACTTGGCTACCCCAAAAGCTTGGTAAGAAACGCAAAATCGCCAGGTGCGGTGGCTCAAGCCTGTAATCCCAGCACTTTGGGAGGCCAAGGCGAGAGGATTGCCTGAGCTCAGGGATTTGCAACCAGCCTGAGCAACATGGCGAGACCTCGTTTCTACAATAAATCAAAAAATTAGCCGCGGTGGCACATGCCTGTGGTTCCAGCTACTTGGAAGGCTGAGGCAGAAGGATCACCTGAGCCTACCAGGTCGAGGCGGTGGTGGCTGTGAGCGTGCCACTGCACTCCAGCCTGGGTGACAGAGTGGGACTCCAACTCAAAAAAAAAAAAAAGAAATGCAAAATCTTGGGTTTTACCCCCAGGGTTTGAATTCAGTAGCTCTGGGTGGGGCCCAAGAATTAAATATTTAACAGTAGCCTAGGAGGGGTTCCCAGGTACTGCCACATGAAGACCTCACTGTGAAAACTGCTGAACTGTGCTGGGTCCCGGTTTGTGACCAGCTCAGCCTCAAGAAGTGGGTGCAGTGAGAGAGGAGGAACTTCAGAGAGTGTACTGAATCTTCGGAAGCCACCGTGGAGGAGGCCTATTTTCCAAGGCACATACACGCTCAGCTTTGGGCCAGTAAGGATGCAACGTAACTTCCAGCCTTGGTTTTATTTTCTGTGTTCTAGTTAAGGCTTGATTGAGGGAAAGTAATCAAGTTGTTCATCTCACGTTAATCCAGAGGACTACTTTAGCTCCTCAGAGGCAAAGTGTGAGTAAATACATTTAATATAACAATAGTATTATAATAACAGTAATTACATATATAAAGTCTGCAGTTCCCTGTCCCACCCTCTTATAATTGTTTGCATAGCGCCATTTCCTGTGACACCCCAAAATGGAGTCACCAGGAACTCCAATTGACCTGGCAGAGATGAGTCTTCTCGGGGAGAGTCAGGGGTGAGAAGAAGAGGAGAACACAGGCTGCCATGGCAGCAATGTCCTGGATACAGTGGCCCAGGATGGGGAAGGACTAGAGGAGGGATCATTTCCCACCTCCAGGGCGTGAAGGCAAGCAAGTGACTGCTTTGGCTCCTGCAGGAAAAGGCACCAAACTGGGAAGGGAGACTAGAGATAGCGGCAGCAGGTTAATGCTCTGGTCCTTAGCCCTCTTCTATGTCCAGGAAGCAGAGGGAACAAATTCCTTGCTCGCCCCGTCCTCCATTACGTTCCCACTGCCATCCCAGCCCAAAATGTGCTGGGACGAGGGACTGTAGCCAAGTTCTGAATCTTCTCTAGAAGCCAGGAGAGAAGAGGGAGATGTGTTGAGAAATGGAAGAAGCTGACTCCCAAGAAGCTGGGGAGGGGAAGGAAGGCACATGGAAGAGGGACGGAGTGTTGGATGTGGTGAAATCAGGATGCTGACTCACCCAGGTCACAGAGGCGTGGTGGGATCACTCAGGGCTCGGGCATGACTCTGAGGGGGAGAGAAACGGCAGTGAATTTCGGGACATATGCCTTCTCTTTCTCTCCCCCCTCACTGCCGAGCCTGTCGCTTTATCTTTCTTTCCAAAGTCCCCGGGTTTTGCTATTTTAATCCAAGTCCAAATCAGGCCATTAGCATTCTCCCCTTTGCTCCTTATTAAAGATTCTTTTTCACTTCTGACCTTGATGCCTCTCAGTCAGGCCAAGGGAAAAGGAGGAGGGTAAACAACTATAAATCCAATCTGTAGCCTCAGCTGGGAGCACAAGTTCACTGTTTCCTCCTGCCCCCACAATGGGTTAAATGATCAGAAAAGCCCACCCAGAAAATGGCCAACGATAATCACTGCATTTCCAGCCTTATTGCAGGGACTTACCTGCCGGGGTAGCCCTAAGATCCCTCCACTGGCCAGGGTGGGAGTGCAGCTCCCAGGGTGGGGGGGTTGCAGGCTGGGGCTGCTTCTTGGTCCTGGGGACACATCTCCAGAAGAGTCAAGTGTTTCTGGGGCTGAAGGGGAAGCTAGGGTGAGAGCAGGGCATAGAACCCCTTCCAGATTACCTTAAGCAACCAAGCTGCTCCGTCAAGGAAGAAAGGCTCCATAGCAACGGGAAGCTGTGAGTCACCAAAGCAATCCAGTTGCAAGAGAACCTCCCTACCAAGAGGCAGGAAATTGTCAGCAGCATCATTAGAGCAACCAGGGAAGAAGCGACAGGAAACTATAAGGATTGCCGTGGTGAACCAGGAGGGTACAACAGGAAGCTGAGGCAGTTTCCATAGAAACCCAAGGAGAGCTAGAGAGAGAGGTACAGAGGAAGCGCTTCTTAGCAACAGGCTGTTGTAAGCATCACCCTAGCAACCAGATGGAAGGCTCTTTTAGCAGTGGGGAAGCTGTACCTAGTTGTCATGGCAACTGGGCTACTTGGCTAGAAAAAGGAATTGCTCAGCAGCAAGCAGCCTGAACATCATCATGATGACCCAGCTGTTGGGAGCCACCCCTTGAGAGGTGCCTCACCCAGGGAAATTTGCTTGACGTCCAGATCCCAGGCCTCCTCCTCGACGCGGGCAGGCAGGGAGCAGGCTCCCGGCGAGAGGCCGGGAAGGGAGGGGCCGGCATGCTCAAAGGATGACACGGCCACGGAGGCCCGGGTGCGGGCGGCTGCAGAGAGTGGGGGGTGGGGGGTAGGGTGCTGGTGTGGGAAAGCCCTCCTGGCTCCCTGGAACGACCCGCAGTCTCAGAGAGGGCCTCCCAGTCAGTCCCACGGAGACTGGGAAGAGATGCCCACTCATTGCCCTTCCTGATCTTCCGCCACACCTCCCCAGTGTGCCCTCATCTCAAGGCCTTGACTTCCGGGGGTCACCCCCCAGGACCCTAGCTCTCACCTCTTCCAGTGAGCAGGGCACTCAGTGTCCGCTCCCCAAGGGCTTTGATGTCCAGAAAGGGCTTATTCCCAATGCCCATGGAGACCATCTGCTGTACTCGGAGCTCTAGGGAACAGAGACTCTGTTACCAACTTTGTCCTGCCCCTCCTCTGTTCCAGCCCCAGCATGTCACGGTTGCCTCTTCTTGTTGCTCCTTCCCAAATCTCATTTCTCCCTCTCGTTCCTTTAGTATCTCCTGTTACTCCTCCTGTTGATATCACGACACGGATGGTGATGGTGGTCTGACTTCCTCCTCCGACATCTGTCTCGTTTCTCCCATATGTTGCATCCTGCCCATTTGGAACCCCAGCTGCCTGACTTCTACTTCTCAGCTTCTTCTCTGCATCTTGGGCATTAAGAGCCAAACTCACAATTTTACATGCCTTTACAGTTTACAAAGTGCTTGCATATAGATCGCCTTATTTAATCCTCCCTATCACACGAAGATGAAGACATTACTATTCCATTTTTCAGATGAGTGGAATGAGGTTCAGAGAATTCAAAACAAAACCCAGCAAAAAACAAACCAACTAACCAACAAAAAATGAGTCCAGATCAAATAGTAAGTGGCAACCGTTCTTAAACCCAAGTGAACAGTTTGCCCAGCCATTTGCTCTTGCTTCCCTGAGATTTGCTAGCTTTCGCTTTCCTTTTGGTACATCTTAGCCTCCTTTCTATCTCAGTCACCTCTCTCAAACTGGATCCTGAATCTTCTTATAAGTTATTCTTCATCCTACTCTCTGTTTTCCCAAGCAGTCTCCACACTCTCCAGAAAGCGTCCTGCTGTAACCCTGATTCCAAGCACACCCTCCCTCGCTTCTGCACAGTACCCTTGTTGTGGGCTGCCTGTCTCCACAGCAGCTGGGCAATAGAACTTGTCCACTTGAGCTTGATCTCTGGTGAGGTTGCCTGCAGAGTGTATGCCTCTCGTGCACGCCGCCGCCGAAACCACAGCTCAAAACAGAGTCCACTGTCCCCAATGTTTTCCGTCAGCCCCATGTCAGCAGTCTGAGGAAGAGCAGAGGAGAGTGGGTGAATACAGAGTGACTCCTGGCCAGGTGGTATGACACGGATGAGCACTATGCTTAACTGGCATCTGGTAGATGTTCAGTAAACGTTTGCTCAGTACCTACCACGTGCCAAGTGCTCTACATGCAGTCTTCATAACAACCATAGTTTACAGAAGGGGAAATGAAGCCCAGAGACATGAAGCAACTTGTCCAAGGGCTTATCATAGCTTATGAGAGTCAGAACTTGAACCGATGTCTACGTTATTCCAAACCTAGACCTTCTTCTCTATGCTATACTCCCCTTGAAGAGCTGGAACTAGTGTGGGTGTGAGGTGGGGGAACATCAAAGTCTCAAAACCCTTAGAAAACATTTCACACTGCCTGATCCAGGACCAGAGGTTGCTATAAACATTTATCTGGATACCAAGGCTGTTTCCCTCAAGCAAGCCCTCCCTATTCTTGGGTTCTTTAGTTCAGTCAAGGTAAGCTATGGCATCCTTTCTCCTCATGCCCCAGAGACCACCCCTAACTCCAAAGGCATGTGTGTCCTTAGTGGGAAAGGTCATCTTCCATTCTGGCTTGGAATGCCTAATAAGCCTCTTGCATGAATGATAAGGAAGCCTCCGTGGGGTAGATCAGTGACAGGAACTTCTAATATCCCCCGACATCCTAAAACTTGATGGTTGATTGCAGGCGAAAGCCTATTCCAGGTGATGCAGATTCCGAACATGGGTAGGGATTTGAATTTCCAGAAAATCCTGGGTTCTCAAGAAGAGCACGACTTCTTATCCCCTTCACCCACCATTATAGGCATTGTACCTTAAAGGCTTGCTTGTAAACAAAGGCCTCTGAACCTCCTTCAGCGCCCTTGAGCTTGGTGAACAGGAGGAGATGTTCAAAGAGAAACACGTGGCGAAGGCACTTCTTTCGGCCACAGATGACGGTGAAGGGGTCCCGGTGCAAGAGCTGTCCCTGCTCCTTCAGATCTATCTGGGGAAAGGAAAAGGAAGGTAGTTGGCTCAGGAGCCCTCTGTGTGGATTTAATGGGGAGTAAAAATAGATTTACAAAGCAAGGGACCTGACACACTAGTTTTCAGGCATAGTCAAGAAATCAGGCAAGCCCTCAATCTAGAATTCATCCACTGATCACTATCCACAGCACACCGGGCCTAGCAGCATAGCCCTGCCTCTGAGGATGGGAAGTCGTACTGCACAGCCGGGTTTATAGCCTCCGGTGGGGAACCCTTTGCACATTGGGAACCCAGGAAGACATTAGGGGGGGAAATAGGTCTATTCCAGAGAAGGGTACAGGTGATTCAACATATTCTGGAACCTCAGGGCTGGGTAAAGAGAGGTGGAGGAGAATAAGGTAGGCGTTGGGTGTTAAGATGTAGGAGGATGGAAGGCTGAGGTGGAAGGATTGCCAGAGCCCAGTAGGTCGAGGCTGCGGTGGCCGGGAGCGGCCACTGCACTCCAGTCTGGGCGACAGAGTGAGACTCCAACCCAAAAAAAAAAAAAAGATGTAGGAGGCCGGGCGTGGTTCAAGCCTGTAATCCCAGCACTTTGAGAGGCCGAGGCGAGAGGACTACCTGAGCTCAGGGGTTTGAGACCAGCCTAGGCAACTTGGTGAGACCTCGCCTCTAAAATAAATAAAAAAAATTAGCTGGGTGTGGTAGCGCATGCCTGTAGTTCCAGCTACTTGGAAGGCTGAGGCAGAAGGATTGCCTGAGCCCAGCAGGTTGAGGCTGTGGTGGCCATGAGCTTACCATTGCACTCTAGCACGGTGTCAGAGTGAGACTCCAACTCAAAAAAAAAAAAGATGTAGGAGGAAATGTAGGGTAGGTAAGGAAAGAGAAGAATTAGGAAAGGAGTAAGAAAGCACAAGGCAGATGTAGGAACATGGAATGTTGGCAGGACATAGCTTCTTTATCTACAGTGAGGCTCAACGAAGTTCAGTGACTCAATCAAGGCTACCCAGCTGGTTAGAAATTAGAGCCTGGAGCCCGCTGACCTTGAGTCTGGTTCTCCCGTTGCTAGCCTACACTACTTCTGAGGCCACAGGGCTAGACAGTTTGAGGAAGAGTGACTGGCACCAGGGTCTCACCTCACAGCCACGCACTGCCTCTACGGCCAGCAGGTCTCTGCCACGGGCTTCTTGGTCTCGGAGCAGCTGCACAGCGGCCCCAAGAGCCTGGCGCTCAGAATTCAGCTCAGGCCCAGCTTCTCTCAGGAGATCCTCCAGGAGCCGTCCATACCGAGCCAGCTGTTCTAGCGGCTGCTGCAGGGCTCGGGGCAGGTAAGGGCCAGCCTCCATGGAGCCCTAGGTTAGGGAGGAGAAACAAGGATGAAGGGAGGGGCTGAAGCCTCTGGGGGCCAAGCTCTAGGAGGAAGGTGAGTGGTACTTTAGGTTTGTGGGTATAGACGAAGCCTAAATACTCCCCAAAATAAGGCAGAAAACGTTCTCTCTGGAAAAAGCGGATAAAAGGCTAGAAGTAAAACTGTCCTGTATATCTTGAAGGAAAATAGAAGAGGAATCCAAATAATAATCCCTTATAGTCTCTGGCTTTTAACTTTTGAAGTCACTTGCACATCTTGTGATGTGGGCTCTTTTGATCCTCAGAGCTTCACTGTGAGTTAGCTATGGTAAATATTGCCCCTAGTTACCAGATGTGGAAATAGAGGCCCAGAAGAATCAAGAGTCTTGCCCAAGGTCCCTCAGGTGGACTGGATAAGAACCCAGCCTCGCCAGTCCAGTGCTTGTCCCACCCAAAGCAATTTTGGGAGATAACTGGTAGGTAATGTTCCTGGGCACATCCAGGAAAGTTTTATTTCCCTGAGGGATTCTGAGGTTGGGTGGGTTTCAGGTCTTCTTGGCCCCCCTTCACAATAAGGTTGGAGAAAATGTTACCTTGGTCGGGGGGCTGAGCGCAGCCAGACCATTCTCCAATTTGTGTCGGTGCTTCACATACTGGGCGTAAAGGCTGAACTGGTCCCCCTGTGCCAGTAGGGAAGAGAGAAGGCACCCCCAGTATTAGGCCTCTACAGACAAATCTCTCCCTTTCTCCCTCCCCATCCTTACTGCAGCCCAAGCGGGGGACAGGTCACCAGAAAGCACTCAACTGCTGGGAATTAAGGGTTCCTTGTGGGGAGAGTAAAGTCCAGGCAGCCCTTGAGGGCAGGGACACAGAGGCTGAGCAGAGGAGAAGGGCCCACAGAACGGGGCTAGGCCCCAGAGTCGTGGGCCACACACAGTGGGGAAGCGGGTAGCAGATACTAAAAAGGAGACAGATGGATGGGGCTGGAGTATGGGAAGGGAGAGGACTTGGGAGAAGTTTTCGAGGATCGCTCACATGGCGAAGGAAGCAGGCCCCAATGCGGAGGGGGTGGGTGGCACAGCCCTGGAGTTCCCGCAGGAAGTGTGTCCGGTGGAAGCTGCGAAGCCTCTCCCGGGTACTTAGGGCGGCAGCCCAGGTCCCCCGAAGTTCAGCAGTCAGTTCAGACCCAGGGGGTAGCACTGGCTCACTCAAGGTGGCCACGTACTCCTGCTCACAAGCAATCAGCTCAGACACCAGACGCTGCTGGGCGCTGCAAGTACAACAGCAGTGGCAAGGAGGTGTCACTGGGGGCACGGGAGGGAGCCACTACTCCCAACAATGTCATATTCTTTTCCTGCTGGGTACCTGGGTCTGCCTCTTGGGCACCAGTTGGGCTGGGCTCTCACCTGATGCTTCTCTTGCGCTCCATGCGGGGGGTGCCAACTCCCCAGGGCCCGTCTGGCCCCCCGGCCCGGCCCAGCAGCACATGTTCCCGTGGTGAGCACGTCCTGTCTACCACCTCAGTACTGGTGACCTCCAGGCCTCGAATCAGCACAGCCCGTGGAGGCCTGCCCTCTGCTTCTGGAGCCGGCTCGGAGCCCTCCTCCTCATAGTCCTCTCCACACGGGGCCAGGGAACAGTGGGATGGGGCTGCCCGTGGCCCTGGGCTGCTGGGGAGCAGCAGGGAGCTGAGGCTGGGTGAGGGGCTGTGTGGGCCCCGCTGGCCCCCTCCGCTGCTGGCGCTGTCTGCCCGTCGCCGCCGGTGGCCCCGAGGACTCGCCTCCTCTCCCAGCTGTTGCTGAATCCTCCTGTCCAGCTCTTGGCAGCGGGCCCGGCAGCGGCCCCATTCTCGCAGGGCTGCTGGGCTGCCCAGGTCCAGGGCCAGGGCCCGCATCTCCTGGAAGGTTCCGGCACTGGGCTCCGGGGCCCGCCTCAGGGCCAGTGCCGCCAGCACAGCCTCCCGACCCGGCCCAGCTCCTGCCAGCCGAGCAAAGCCCTCATCTACCCACTCGTGTGCCTACAAAGCCAAAGGGGTCGGGGATGGGAGAGAAAGGATGAGGGCCTGTGCTGCTCCCAACTGCCGCCTAACGGCGGCTCTTGTCCTCTTGCCCCTGGCTTTCTGATGTCCATCACCCTCCCCATTCTCTCACCATCACTGTCACTGCCTAACCATGTCACTCAGAGTTGGTATGGAGATGGAGGAGCCTAGGTAAAGAGAATAGCTTGTACTTATACTGAGTTTATAAGAGGCAGGTGCTTTACTAAGTGTTTTTATGTACTGCCTCATATCCCCACCACAGCCCTGTGAGGTAGGTCTAGGAGGCTTAGTCAGGCTTAGTACCTTGTTCCAGGTCACTTCACAAAGAGGTGGCAGAGCTAAGAGTCAAAACCAAGGAAATGGACCTAAGAGTCCCTACTTTTTTTTTTTTTTTGGGTTGGAGTCTCACTCTGTCACCCAGACTGGAGTGCAGTGGCTGTTCCCAGCCACCGCAGCCTCGACCTGCTGGGCTCCGGCGATCCTTCCACCTCAGCCTTCCAAGTAGCTGGAACTACAGGCGCGTGCTACCATGCCCGGCTAGTTTTTGATTTATTGTGGAGATGAGGTCTCGCTTGCCCAGGCGGGTCTCGAACCCGCGGGCTCAGGCAATCCACTCACCTCAGCCTCCCAAAGGCACAGGATTACAGGCTGAGCCACCGAGCCCGGCTGAGTCCCTGCTTTATAACAACTACTTGACTAGCCTCTCCAGGCAGAAAGGAAGGAAAGAAATGGAAATGGTGGCACAGAAGGAAGAGGTTCTGCACGCACCTGCTGGAAAAAGCGCTGTAGCCGCAGGGCCCTATGGAGGCCACTCTCAACCTGTTCCAGCTGCTGTTCAAAGATATCCAGAACCTTCTGGGAGGCAGCATCCTCTTCCAGCGCCAGGGCCTCCCGTGCCTGGGCCAGGCGCTCCTGAAGAAGGGAGGCTGTGCTCAGACTTGGTCTTCACTCCTAGGTAGTTTACCCCTACCTCCTGCATGCCTCCTCTGCCTGCCCTCCTTCTCCTCCTCACCTGGACCTCAGTGCTGAAAGCCCGGAATCGCAGCTCTGTCTCCTGCAGGGCAGACAGAGTGTCTCCTGGCACAGCAAAGCTTGACAGCTGCTCCTCCCCCGAGCCTGAGAGCCAATGCAACACCTGAGGCAGATGGGATGGGAAAGCAGGGAGCCATGAAGTGGAAAGGCAAGGAAGAGCTGAGATCCAGCACCCACCCCACCACCCACCCCACCACCCCAGACCATAGAACCTTGGGAGAACTACTGCATCTCATCTGCAACATGGGAATAACAGGGAATGATCATAGTTTCCACAAGGGTCAGGTGAGAAACCAGGTAAGAAACCAAGGAAGAGCTCTTCAGTAAGTAGATGAGGGGGAAGCTGGGCTGGCAGGAAGCACTGAGGGAGGTGGATGAGAATTTCAGGGCTATGCCTGAGGGTGAAACAGATAAAACTGGTGTGAACCAAAAGCAGGATGAGGGCATTTGGATAACCAAGTCCTGGCAACTGGTAGGCAGGGATCTCAGTGACCAGCTCTGGAGAGATAGTCCAAAAGGTGGATATGTGTGTTTGTCCAGCTTTAGTGCCCAACATGGGACTATAAGAACTCTCATGCTGGTTCAGAGCTGTTAGACCAAAAAGGGATGCTAATTTTTTTCCTCTGAAGAAAGGCTAGAAGCTAAGGTGGGACAGCCTGAGGATGAGAGGTCTGAGACCGTTCCTAATAGCCAGTGCCAATAATAAGCACTTTTATAGACCTTTGCTGAATTCATTTGATCTTTCTTTCTTTTTTTTTTTTTTTGAGTCAGAGTCTCACTTTGTCGCCCAGACTGGAGTGCAGTGGCCGCTCCCGGCCACCACAGCCTCGACCTGCTGGGCTCCGCGATCCTTCCGCCTCAGTATTCCGAGTAGCTGGAATTACAGGTGCATGCTACCACACCCGGCTAATTTTTTGATTTATTGAAGAGATGAGGTCTCGTCTGACCAGGCAGGTCTCGAACCCGCGGGCTCAGGCCATCCACTCACCTCAGCCTCCCAAAGGCGTGGGATTGCAGGCTGAGCCACTCAGGTGCTCATGAGCCACTGAGCCCGGCATTTGATCTTTCTAACCATCTGTGAGTTAATTATTATCATCCCCATTCTACAGATGAAGACTTTGGAACTCAGAGAAGCTTCATGGCATGTTCAACATCTTAGACCTAGCAGAGTTAGAACTCAGGGCAAACACTTTAGACTTCAGCTCCTGTTTTTAAATGGAGGGAAACAGCTTAATAAGTTGGCAAACACAAGAACTGTAACCCTTTGAATACTGGAATAGAAGAAGTCAAAATGAAGAAACTAAGTCCTAGCATCCCTTTAGCACTGATCCTAAGATGACCCTTCCCTCTGATTCCCAGGTATAGGTCCATGAGGTTCTCATGTGCCATGCTTGGAGCTAAGGGGGAACAATCAGGTGTCAAAGCCCCCTCTAGCCCACCTGACAGAATGGAAAACAAATCTCTGCAGGGCTCTTAACCCCGGGAGAGAAGAATCAAGGTCCAGAGAAGCCAGCCTTAATTCCGACTCTTTCCCACAGAGAACTGTGGTTCCTTTTAGGGGCATCCAATGCCTTCTCCTGCCAAGGTGGAGGGAGGTGAGACCTTTCCAGTCTCAGGTTTGAGGGATGCATAAGGAGGTAAGGGAGCACGTGTGGCAATGTACCTAAAGAGCTGGTATCAATAGACAATTATTATTATTATTATTATTATTATTGAGTCGGAGTCTCACTCTGTCGCCCAGGTTGGAAAGCAGTGGCACAGCACACTCACAGCCACCACAGCCTCAACCTGCTGGGCTCAGGTGATCCTTCTGCCTCTGCCTTCCAAGTAGCTGAAACTACAGGTGCCTGCTACCATGCCCGGCTAATTTTTTGACTTATTATAGAGACGAGCCTCACCAATTTTCCTGGCTGGTCTCAAACCCCTGGACTCAGGCAATCCTCTCACCTCGGCCTCCCAAAGTGCTAGGATTATAGGCTTGATTCACTGCACCTGGCTGGCATTTATTATTATTATTATTATTATTATTATTATTATTTTTGA